CTAACGGCTTCAATAGGAAAGAGGAGACACTGATGGTCCTTGGCTGACATATGCGATCTCTTGGTGGCCTTCGGTAGAAATGCAACTCTAACCTGCCTCCAAGCCCTACGAATATATTCCAATTTAATGAATTTCGCAAACATATCGACTAAAGAATGATAGAATATAAAGGTACGGCAGTTAATTGTTCCGCAAAAAATACACCACTCTATCAGAACTGTATTCGTGGTCTCTCAAAAACACACAAAAAAGCTTTAGAAGCTATTACATATTACATTATTCGTGGTCTCTCAAAAACACACAAAAAAGCTTTAGAAGCTATTACAGAAACAAGATGTTGAAGTGCTGCTGTTGTAGTTAATATCTAGATCCTGATTGGCGGAAAGCGCTAAGTTAAGCTGATATCACTTAACGGTTAGTCCAGGAAACGGGTTGCTTCGAAGAAATGGGATAAGAAAACGAACGAACGATGACGAATTAGGAAAGGGTTTTAGGTGAATTGATTCCTTGCGGTCTACAAAGCTTCGTGCGGAGCTTTTTGCATGCAGGACATATGTTTAGTATGTCAGGATCCATTTTGGATAGGTAGAAGTTTAATCCATTATAATATTTAAAACAAAGTTCCGCAAGGGTCACTCTGGTTTCACTTAACAACTCCAGAAGCAGGAACATGCAGGCATGACTGTTCAATTAGGAACATCAAGAGACATCCATCCATATCCGGCAGATCTATAACTTCTTCAACTGCGTCCTGCTGCATTCAGGCGAGTGAATGCCTAGTAGTGCCTGTTAGCGACTTAAGGATCTTATTGTGGCCCTGTTCTATGGTAATGAACGCGGTCGTATAACACCAGGGGAGAGTTTTAGGCTCCTTAATAAGGAGTCCTTACAGTGAAGAACCTGGGGAAGTCATGTTGATAGGCATTCACTTTCAAACACATGACATCGACTTACGAGCTCGACGTCAATATCGTGCAATCATCAGCTTACGATGCTATGGAAATTGCCTTTGGCAGAGTTTCGAGATATGGAAGTTAAATCGTAACGGGAGGAGATGTTTAATTCTTCTCAGCTTAGAATTTTGAACTCGAAATAGTTCGCATGATTGACGACAGCTCAGATAACTCATGATTCATCTCTTCAACCCTGGAGGAAACGTAACATATATTGCTTAATGTACTTCAGTAGCGTTGTGTGCTTGACAGGGTCAGACCACGTAATATAGTAACCCCAAAAATGTTTTTCACGGGTAATGTTTGGACTAGTTAAATACATTTTCGGCATTAAACAATGGTATATCCAATATTATACGTTCACTTAATTTTCCTCAGATATCTTACATATGGACCGATATATACGTTATAAAGCCAACCAGAAGCTTGAGGTTCTTGCATTAGGTATATGGGGCCTACGGTTAGTATTTACTTAATTTTATCCACTTTTAACACAAATATTACTATTAACAGAAAGGTGTTCTGTAAGTTTCATTAAGAAACCTCTTATATACGGTATAAAGTCCACCGATAGTTCGAGAATTCTTTTATTTTCGGTATATGGGAATTAGTTAGTTAGCGGGACTATTCCCCTATTTTTATATATTTAAGGCACTAATACTATTATTAGAAAGACGCGCCTTCTAAAATTTTGTTAAGATAACTTCCAGATTGACCGATTTATACAGTAAAAAGTCAATCGGAAGAAAATCTTTGTGTCAGGTATATGGGGGCAAGGATTCCTATAATATATTATATCTCACATATTGACCGATTTAGGTACTTATATTCGGTATTTGGAGGCTTGAGAAGTAATGCTCCGATTTTGACTAATTTAGACGTCAGATGAACTACCTTAAATTCACTAATTGTATAAAGTTAAATTCCGTTGTATAAATTGGTGCTTGATATGTATGTATGTACATATCCGCAAAACAAGAGCCGGGGCGCTACCATTAGAGCTGGAGAACGGACAGACCGCAGAAGCCAACTTTTGTGAGGCACTCAAACACACCCTTCACATATTCGCAACTGTGGCCGAACTTAAACCAAAGGCTACTATAGAAATTAGAGATCTAGATTCACTTACAACAAAAAACGAAGTCGCAGAGGCTGTAAAAGAAGTGGTACAGGACCTCATCGAAGACTGGACGATATATATAACGGCACCTAACACAATAGAGCAGGTAAGGGCGTTTATAACGCTTCATCAGGATAAAGCTGACACACTGCTGCGAAAGACACGCATTACAATTGGCTCGGTCAATTGCGGCTTGCGACTTAAAGAAAAGGCCAAAAGGTGCTACCGCTGCTTTGGACCAGTGCACTTGACCTGGGACTGCAAAAGATCCGATAGGAGAGGGCAAGGTACTTGCATAAAATACGGCAACCAGGTCACGAAATAAAAGAGTGCACAAAACCCCCCTTATGCTGCCTCTGCGAAGAGGCCCAACACGAAAAAGTCGATCATATCCCGGGCTCCGCAAAATGTACGGTATATAGAAATCAGAACAAATGAATATTCTACAGGCCAATATGCTTAGATGCAAGGCTGCTGACGCATTACTCTCGCAAATGGTGGCGGAGAACGGTTACGACTTAATCATCATAAGCGAGCAATATAAAAAGAAGGAGAGCGGAACCTGGTTAGAAGATAGCAGCTCAACCTCAGCTATATGGCTACCACTAGGTAGCAACGTCGGCACTATAGGTAAAGGGAACGGCAACGGTTTAGTATGGGCCAAATACGATCTTTTCCCAGTAATTAGCTGCTACTTGACGCCAAGCGACAGCATACAATAATTTCAAGAAAAGCTTGACAATGTAGAGGATACAGCCCGATCTATAGAGGGTCAATTAATTATCGCCGGATACCTAAATTTGAAAGCCATTGAGTGGGGCATGCCAAACACGGATTCGAGAGGAAAGTGCTTTCTAGACACGGCTGCGCGGCTTGGCCTAATAGTGCTTAATACGGGAAATGCAACCACGTTCAGAAGGTCGGGATGCGAGGAAACCACACCAACAGAACGCATGGCAGGCTTCATAAAGAAATAGAGGGTCCTAGAAGATTACACTGGCAGCGATCATCAGTACATTTCTTTAACGGTGGATACCGGAACAAACGCCAAACAGTACAGGAAAACTACTGGAACCCGAAAATGGAACGTCTCGAAACAAAAGACTTCGAAATTAATATCAGCAATAGACGACCATAACCCATCTAGCAGCTCCCCCCAAAAATGATTTAAAATAACAAGAATCTGTCACAAATCGATGCCCAAGGCTTCCCACAGCAAATATAAAACAGCAGTTTACTGGTGGATAGAAAATATCGTTCAGACGCACACGCCTTCACCTTCGCAGATCGTATACGCGATCTAGGCGCAGAGGAGCCGCATCCCGAAAAACCGAGCAATATCAAGCGGCCAAAAAGGAGCTAAAGCACGCCATCGATGGTAGAAAAAATGGGAGGAACTACGCGAGAACGTTAACACAAACCCCTGGCGACTTCGGTACAAAATAGTAATGAAGAAACTCGGAGCTCGAGCAAAGCCACCTGACTTAACCGCTGCCAAAATAGATCACATCGAAAGCGCACTCTTCCCCACACACGAAAAAAAGCCCGGACGGGATCCTAGCAGAAATCTTTAAAAAAAATCGCTGCAGAGCGACAGGCAGTACTTTTGAATATGTACAACGCCTGCCTCAAAGCCGGAATATTCCCTGAACCTGGGAAAAAACAACGACAAGGATACATTTTAGGCCCAGACTTGTGGAACATCAGCTACGACGCCATACTAAAACTCGAAGTGCCAGACGAATCGTACCTAATTTGCTACGCGGACGACATCGCAGCAGTAATTACAGCCCGAGACACAAGCTTAGCCAGGTCATGATACGGATGCAAGCATGGCTTGACTAACACAACCTCCGGCTCCAGAAAAAGCTGTGGGAGCTAAAGAAAAGGCCAGAATATAACAAGAGCGCATTAGAACAAATAAAGAATATCAGTATGGCAACGAAGTTGGGAGAACGAGAGTCGCGGAAGATGGACGGCCAGATTTATAAGAGATCTAAATTTATGGACAAGTCGTTAATTCGCTAAAGTCGACTTCTACATAACACAACTACTATCCGGTCATGGATACTTCAAAAAGTACCTCTACAGAATGGGCAAAGTCGAAGAGTCGTCATGCCTATACAACGATGCGACTGAGGAAGACACTGACATTCTTTAAATGTGAGCGAAAAGGGAACGCCCCGCCGCAGAAGACCTGGTCGGTCCAATAAACGCGAACAACTTTATCAGCGACATAGTGGAGAGCGAAGTTAACTGGGATTTTATCCAGAAATTCGCAGCAACTTTGCCACGTAGCAAAAAGCGGACGCAGGTGCGCAGATGTTAATCTCTCAGTGAGGAAAATGGAACGCCACGCAGAACTAGTGCAAACGCGGTTCCAGTGTGGGCGACGGTTCCCTAGAGGGGGGGTTTTTAGTGACCTGCAAGTGGCACATACCGTTGCTGTGATGATAGCACTGAACCCGCAAAAAAACAAAAAATATATGTACATATATATTCTAATGTGAAAGGATCAGATAAAATTAAAAACTGTGTTATATGTGAAGTAGATGAGGTCGTGGTGCGATTTCGCCCATTTTCACAATTTGGTTTGGTTAGGTATAGGATAACACTTTACGGTATAAGATATCACCTTAAAGTGGGCGGTGCCACGCTTGTACAATTTTGACAACGGTTCCTAAAAAGCTCTTCCGTACCATCTTGGCTGTCAAATTTTGTGTTGCATTTAAGAGTGGGTGTGGTTATCATATGCTATTTATATATCACACACACTGACAAGAAACATAGGTACAAAGTTTGGTGGAGAGTATAAAAATATAACGTGTTGTTGTTATTATTATAGCATAACTGATCTCTCCAAAATTTTGTTTAGTTATACAATCACTTTGTAATTTTACGATGTTTAAAATGTATGCAAAAAAATGTTCAATATTTTATAAATATATATTCATTAACTTTTAATAATAATACAAATATGTTGTAAGATGGAATCTGCTTCTATATGTTCTGAAAAAGTTTATCTGATAAACTGCAAATAATCTAATTCCAGATTATTTACGTAAATCATCAGCGTTAAAAACAATGCCACGAATACGACTTATGCTTTCTAAATCATTAAATAGAATTTTATATATTTTCGATACATTTTATTTTTTTAAAATAGTTATGCAAAATCTTTGATGATTGCCCTCGCGCTAACAATCGCTTTGGTTTCCATATCCTACTTCATTACTCCGTATATAACTACGAATTACATGTAAAGCTCATGTGCATTCGTTCGCACATCTATAAAGTCGACACCATAACACTGACTCATTGTTTATTATTGCAGCCCAAATCTTGCTCAAAGGTATTCGAGACTGTTGCAATAGAAAATATTTGTGTTGTTAATGTCTAGAAAATTAAATATGATTTGATTTGTGTACATATAATATATAACAAACCCTATATGTATGTAGATACAAAAAATACCTAGATAGAAGTTTTTTAGTTCTTATCAGGGTAGCAAATAATGCATTAAAAAATAATTACGTTAATTAAATTTATAACTCTAAGAAAAATTAAGCAATATTAAAATGTAGGTTATACAACATTTGCCAAGCAACACAATAAAAAAATATTTCTTTCAATTCAAAAACTGAATTGTCCACTAATCTGTGTGCAAACTATCATTGTGACCATTATATTTCAAATTTAATTCATATTTAGCAAGTCGTTCGCTTTTCTCAATCTCCATTAGTTTCAACTTTTCATTACTTTCTATTTCGATTTTCCTTAATTCGAGTTCTTGCTTTTTCAACTCCATTTCGGCTTCGAATTTTTGTTTGACAAATTGAAACTCTTGCACGAATTTATATTCTTCAAATTTCAATCGTAGCCGTTGCATTTCATTGCGGCTTTCCTGACTTTGACTTAAGGCGGAGAGTGAATGTCGCAGCGATTCTTTTTTCAGTTTTTTTGCAATCGTTTGATCCTCATTGTTCGCATATTTGGTGTTGGGCAAAGTTTCGGCAGTTGCCGTTTCTGCAATCAACTGCTCATGTAGTGCATCGGCAAGTGCTGGTGTAGAATTGGTTGACATTTGAGTAATTTCCACTTCAGGGCACAATTTATTTGCAAAATTCAAGCTTTCAGTTTCATCTGGATAAAAGTTTTCAAATGCATTGTAATCAGCGAATACTTTTACATCCACAGACATATCATTATTTTCTTCAAATTCCTCATTATAACAATCGGGAAATGAGTCGTTTGAGTCGAGAATCTCAACAACTTGCGCTTGCTTTTCACCAAATATCTTTTGTAAACGCTCATAGTTTGGACATATTTTCTGCAATCGCTCTGTAAATAATTAATTTTATTAGAATATTTATTTTTACTTCATCTCTTCAATTCTATATTTACCAACAACCAGTTCCTCATTTAGTGATTTAGCTTCAGGAGAGATTAACCATTGATTCGCTTTTGCGTAGAGTGTTTTCAAATAACGCACCTTCCATTTTATTAAATCCCATGTCGCATCGATTGGCGTAATTTGTAGGAATGTTTCATAGTATGCTCGTGCTGTTGGTTTCTAAACTCACATTTAGTTTGCTTAATTAGTAAATTTAAATAAAATCACATATATGGTAAATACCTCCAAATTTCCATGTTCTGTTATATAGTCAATAATTTTGCTTATTTCGCTTTGTGTCCATCTCTTAATTCTTTTTTGTTGTAATTTCCTTTTCATATTTTACACAAATAAGCTGCACAGAACGCAAAATATCCAACAAGAATTCCGAAATAATTAAAAGTTCTTGGATATTGCCACATTCAGTTAATTAGTGCAAACTCCGCGTTGTGAATGTTGCAATTTACTTACCTATCCTTTTTTGAGTATGGCAACACTGTAGTCATTGTCAAATGATTCATTTTGCACTTTTGCAACGCAATACCCCGTTTACGATTACCGGTATAAGACGACTTACACGGCAAAGGTGCAAGATGTTTTAGGATTTTATATTTCTATACAAGGTAAGTCACCGTATCTTCCAACTGGTGTTATATATTCTCCATTTTTTCTTTTTTTTATAGATGTATCAACAAGAAGCTTACTGTGTAAACTGTAGGTAATGATAATGATTGTGCGGTACTTTACTCATCTTTTTCACTTGAGTTTGCACAAAACTTTTACTTATTTGCTTTTATTTGCTTTTTACTTGTAATATTAAGAGCACAGCTATTTATCAGCTGTTTAAATGCAAATAGGTAAAGGGTTGTTCACATACGGATTTCTTCGTTTTGCTTGACATTTCGTGGTTCGGTTTGCCATTTAACTGGCAAAGCTAAATAAAAACGTTAAACATCGCGCGTTTCATTTATTTTCAGAAAATTACAATTTTGCAACCAACTCTTTTTCTTAATTCGCTCTTAAAATCGAATTTTTCATCGCTCAGCGTTGCCGCCGCGTTTATTTAGGTATGCGCCATATAAAATCTATGGGCATGAGAAATTTTTGACAGGAATTTGCCGCTGACGCTTTTATTTAGGGACGGCAGTAAATTTTATGTGAACTAGTTATAAGTTGCATTATGGGGTTAGTGGTAGTCAGAACTTTCTAAAAATCGATTTTTTTTGCATTTTGTAAAGTATAACATCTTTGAATTATTCTCATAAAATTTTAAGTGAATCAGACAAATAATGTTATTAGTTGTTCGATAGTTAGCAAGTGGCTTTTAGGCACTCTGGAACGTTCGAGAGCGGGTATCTGGTAGCAGCTGCCGGTGACCGGTAAAGTAAGTGTAAGGACCGTTTTTTCAATGTCTGGCGCTGTACCAGAACTTTAACGGCAATATCTGGTTAGCAACCATCTGTGAGTTAAGTTCTGGTAAACCTTACCGAATCTTGGTTAGTTTCTAACCAGAAGTTCATATGACAGCTGTCAGCTATAAAATCTATAAGATCATTATTTATTATACATTTTTGCAGTCATATATGCATATTACATGCAAAAAAAAGCGAAATAACATTTAAATATCTGAACATAAGGTAAATATTTCTTTGAAACTGAGCGCTGTTGCAACCATGAAAGGAATGCCGAATTCTTTAGCAGTGAGCTGTTACGGAAAACAACACGAAGCGTGGCACCCGAGCACGAGCGGAGCGGTCTCTTCGTCTTACCTCGTCGTCTGAACATGCACATACATGGCTCATGACGTTTACACAGTTTTGGGTGTTCACAACGCAAATTTTGTGAACTGTTTTCGCCACGCATTCACAAGAATCGAGTTATCGTATGTAGCTATTGTGTATTTGTGGTTAGCTGACCACAACTTGATGAAAACGGTTCTGCCAGTTAATGATATCATCCAGTTAAGCTACAACCGGCTAAGAATAATATTGACCAGACATTGGGAAAACGGCCCTAAAACTACAAATGCGTTTTTCTCAAAACAATGTTTTTTGAACTGGCAAGTCCAATTAGGAGCAATTTACTGTTTAAATTTGCTCTGGGAAAATAATAGTGAAATTTTCAATGCATATGGCTAGCATGTTATATTCACGTGTGCAAAAAGGTGCAAAGTTCGCAATTACATATTTTGTAGAAAAATGCATTACTTTTATAAGTTCGTCCCATTATGAACGAACTTGTTTGCAATTACTATGAAAGTTTGATAGTTCGCTACGTTTAGGACTTAGCATGTGGAAATCTTGTTCGCAACTATAAATTACCAGGTTGACTAGACGAGTTGAAATCCGGGTCCTGTGAGTCCGTCTGCCCGAGCAGTCGATAACTTGAGTAAAAATTGAGATACCTTGATGAAACCTGTTTCATATGTTGGTTGGAACATGATGACAACGTTGTGCCAAAAATGGGTAATATCTGGTCAATACTTTTCTAAGCTCCCATTTACCTAATATAAATACTTTTGACTTCCGGTTGACTTTATATCGCATCTATCGGTGAATTAGTAAGAAATCTTAATGGAATTAAGAAAGAATATCTCCAATAACAGTGTATACTCGTTCCAAAAATGGATGAAATCAAAGGCTTCCCCTGGTCCCCATCTATCTATATATGAATTTTCCAATATCCACTTGACTTATACGTTGTATATATCTAATCTGTAAGATATCTTAAGGAAATTCAGAGAGCCTCAATTTCTGGTAATGATGTAGAGAAATATCAAAAAAATAAATCTTGTCTAAAATATTCCCTAGTCTCCATATACTTAATATAAGAAAATGTGTAAGAATTTCAAACTTCCGGTAGGCTTTACACCGTATATATACACATTTAAATCGGTTAATATGTAAGATACCTATGAATATAAAGGGTGATCCATTTTGAGTTTTCCTACAAAGAAAGAACATTCTTTGGCATTTACTTTTTGAATATTATCTCTTTCAAATGTTAGAGGCGGTATGTCTCGGATGGTCCATCCATTGAGTCCAATTTTCGATGACTTATTCCAGCATTTCAACTGGTAATTGGCGAATGACACGTGTGATGTTTTGCTCCATGACCTGAATCGAAGCGAGATTGTCCACATAGACTTTAGACTTTACATATCCCCACAGGAAAAAGTCTAACGGTGTGATATCACACGATCTTGGTTGTCAATCGACCGGCCCAAAACGTGAAATTATCTGCTCACCGAAGTGTTCTCTCAATATATCCATTGATTGATGCGATGTGTGGGAAGTGGCACCGTCTTGTTGACACCAAATGTAGCCGGGATCACGAGCTTCAATTTCAGGCATCCAATAGTCGATTATCATGGCGCGATAACGGTCGCTATTGACTGTTAAGTTCTCACCGGCATCATTTTTGAAGTAATATGGACCGATGATTCCACCGGCCCACAAACCATACCAAACCGTTGTGTTTTCTGGATGAAATGGCAGCTCTTGAATCTCTTCAAATTGCTTTTCGACCCAAATGCGTAAATTTTGCACGTTTACATACCCTTGGAGCCAGAAATGGGTCTCATCACTTCCAGTCCAGAATTAGAAATTGGGATTCCCTCATATCCCCATGTATTAAATTTAGCTCCTTTGATTGAGTTTATTTCACATATATTTCATTTGAGTTAATTAGTTTGATCTTAATAGTAGTATTACGGACATGCAAAATGTAGTAGTGAAAATAAGAACGTCTATGATTTATAATGTACCTAAATAAATTAGATACAAATTTTATTGTAATCCTTTCACGATTTTGTCGAACAATGAAATCCGAGTGATTATTTGTCTGTCCGTTCGTCCGTCTGTGCAAGCGACAACTTAAGTAAAAATTGAGATATCTTAATGAAACTTGGTATACGAGGTTCTTGTCAAAAAAGTGAGAACGTGTTCGTAGATGGGCGTAATCGTAATTTCACATCATCTTAATATATTAAATTAAGCCTCTTCCGTTGAGTTTATATCACATATACATATGTATCTCATTTATTAATAAAACTAAGTGAGTACATTTACCTTCTATATAAATCAAGAAAATATGAAATACAAGTAGTAATTTGTAATTTATTGATGAGTTTTCGAAAAATTAATATTGAATTCTTTTGGAACATTTTTTAAAAATGTCTAAATTATAAAATGTTCGATAACAGCTGAACTTAGTCCTTCCTTTTTTGTTACAATAAAATTTTTAACTCCATACATCCCTAAATTTATCTGAAAAAAACGCGTGAAAATTCGAGATATGGGCGTTGAAAATAAAAACAAGAAAAAACGTTAACTTCGGTTGCGCCGAAGCTATAATACCCTTCACAAATACAAAGGCTCCTTACAAGAACTTGATTCCGAACGTTCAATTTGTATGGCAGCTATATGATATAGTGATCTGATCTGACCAATTTCTGTGGCGAATAATTTGTTGCCTTAAGCAATAACTCGTGCCTAATTTCGGGAAGATACCTCGTCAAATAAAAAAATTTTCCATGCAAGCACTTTACTCTGATCGTTCAGTTAATATGGCAGCTATATGCTATAGTCATCCGATCTATACAATTTCTTCGGAGATTAGATTAATGCTTTAAATAATAATACATGCCAAATTGCGTGAAGATACCTCGTCAAATGAAAGAGTTTTCCATACAAACACTTGATTCCGATTGTTCAGTTTGTATGGCAGCTATATACTATAGTCATCCGATCTGAATAATTTCTTCGGAGATTACATTGTTGCCTCAAATAATAATCCGTGCCAAATTTCGTGAAGATACCTCCTCAAATGAAAGAGTTTTCCATACAAACACTTGATTCCGATTGTTCAGTTTGTATGACAGCTATATGCTATAGTGGTCCGATATCGGCCGTTCCGACAAATGAGCAGCTTCTTAGTGAGAAAACACAGGTGTAAAATTTCAGATCGATGTCTTAAAAACTGAGGGACCAGTTTGTATATATACAGACAGACGGACAGACGGACATGGCTAAATCAACTCAGCTCATCAAGCTGATCATTTATGTATATATTTTATAAAATTTAATCAAATTGCAGTGTATCAAATTAATTGAAATAAAAAACAGAAGTTCGACCGTATTACTGAACACGTTGAAGGTGATTATTAGCATTATCCATATTATTTTTATTCGTGGGTTACATTTAGATATAGCTTTTTCCTTCCTTTATGAGGGTACAGCCAAAAGCATGGGTGAATGAGCAATAGTTAACGTAGACCCGATCAGCGAGTTTGATGTTTTGATTTGTCTTTTTGGCTAAAAAGATATGAATTTTGTTAGGTCATATTCATGAATCATTATATATGTACCTAAAGTTGTATAGTTAGCATAAAAACAACGATTTGTCAAAAGTCAAAATCAGATGTTTGGCTTTGTTTTATGTTTCAAACATATATTTTCTAAACATTCCAGCTAGTTGTACATCACACAAAATCATAAAAATGTGAACACCAAATTCATAAGAAAAGCAAAAAAAAAAGTTTTTTTAACGTTATGGATAAAAAATTGTTTCCTGAGGTCGCCATTTTGTTAATTTAAGAAAAGCTATGTTCAAGTACTAGACTATTTATTAATAAAACTAATTTGTGTTGTCCGATGGATTTTAAATGAATCTCTAACTATTAGTTATAGTCACCGCACCGAGCTTCGATGAAACTGGATCAACAAAAACAGTCAGTACTTTTAATTTATAAATTCTTTTTTCAAATATCTGGCAAGTCAAGTTAAAACTTTATTTAATAATTCTATGTGTTTATTTTTATAAAATATTAATATACTGGCACAAAAATTTAGTTAAAATTGTTATTTTTTTATGCATCTGACACATTTTGAACAATTTCGTTTGCACTACTCTGTGCAGCTTGTTGTGAATATCCCTTTTATACTGTCTCAGCTGTTAGTCACCGTACGCTGAATGCAAAACATTGTGCACACACTGTTTTGCACAGTGCGCATGTGGCAAAATAAACAAAACGGAAAGTAGATGTGAAGAGGAACATGAAAAATGGTGCGAATTGAAATCTAATCGAGATCTTGTGCACTGCTAAATACAAAACATAGTTATTTCACTTATTTTTAAGGGATATTAATTTAATATTCATATAATTAATAACAGACAGCACAGTTATTGGAAATAATAAAATATTAATATATGTGCTTACAAGTATTTATATTTAGTCCGATTAGTCGCACGATTCACCAAATGATGCCAGTACAGGGTGTTTCACATGTTAACTAATCGTTAGTGTGAAGATTAGTGCGGCGAATTTGACATTCGTAGCAGCGCTTGGTCTGCTAGTGATTTTAGTTTAGTGTTGCAAAGTGTCGGTGTCGGTTGATTCGTGTACACGTTCCGTAGTGTGAATTGAATATTGTGCGAGACAAGAGTGCGGAAACGGATACCAAGCAATAACAACAAACCAAACAAAAGAACAAGCGCAGAAGGAGTATTGTTTTTTTACAGATACATATTTATATACAAAAATAGTTACGTTGCAAAATATGTATGTGTATAAAATAAAAGACGCGTATGAGTAATGTTGCCAAAAGTTAAGCAATAAAAGAAACTAGAGCAGAGAGCATAGAAAATAAAAATACTTAACTGATATTGGTTAAAAGGTCAGTCAACCAAAGTTGGCATTTTTTATATAAAAGGATAAAAGCAAACAGTGACAGTGGCATAAAAGAAGTAACAAATATTTCAAAGTAAGCAGTGTTTGTAAAATAAATGTTTAGTGAAAACGTAACAAGGAAATATAGAAAAAGTATTGCACTTATAATGGATGTGGTGGGTGTGAATGTGTATGTGTTATTTATTGTTGAAAATAATATGTAATGTAAAGCAAACATAAGAATAACACGTGAAAACAAAAGAGAATAATTACGAAAAACATTATAAAGAGCAAAACAAAATTGCATACATGCGCTGCACAAGCATAATATACATATGTATGCATGTAAGTAGAATGCATATAGCGTGTAGCAGAGCAGCTTGTGGACGAACTGGTATGTAAGACTTAATGGCTTAAGTGCCAGCAGCAAAGCATAGACATACGTACAGATATAAATATGCGTAAGCGTGTGCAGCGTTGGCCAAATAGCACTTAAACGTGTTTCGGTACTTGTTTTCCAACGCAGCCACGTCGCCCACTTAAACGCCAATACCCTATTTGTAGACTGCTCGCCGCTGACTGCTTAGCTCCCCCACAGCGGCGTAGTGAACAGAGCAGACAACAGCGAGCAACCAACTCAGTTTTTGTACCATTCTGTGCACGCAGGCATGCATATATAAACAGATATATGCATTTTTTATGTACACACATACATATATGCATATCAGAATAGCTGAAGCTGTGGCTGCGACGACCGCGGAATCAAATGTCAACCCTGCTGCATTTTACCAATGCCTTGTTGTTACTTTTATTGTGTATGCTATTGTAACAGATTTATACTTTATTGTCATTGTCGACAGCAACGATACGATTGCATGCATCATCTCATTGTTGGTTCGTTTCGTCAACCATTTCCAGAATCGGTTAACAAAGGCAGTTTATTGGAGTTTAATGAATTTAGTTGCACATACGCGTA